CTCTCTCTCTCTCTCTCTTACATAAGGGCTAAGCCTTGCAGGACTACTTTTACAAGTGTGAATTGTATGTAATCCCTTATTGTCAGTGGCATTGTAGAGCTTAGGACATGGATTTTTGGGTTACATAAAAGGAAAGCGCTTTCCACTATGATTTGCCAATTCCCTTTAGGGTTTTGTCATTTTTAGTAACAGATAAAATGTTTTATGTGGTGGGAGTCTTGCTGAGCAGTAGGTTTTTCTATTTATGCATGTAGCCCAGTTACAATAAGTGATGTACTTAAAAATTATCTGCATAATTTGAAACAGTTGGAAAATGATAGAGGGCTTTACTTAAGTAAAAACAATAATCCAGATCTTGTCTAACGTTGTAATTAAACTTAGCAATCTTGATCACATGAACATGAACACAGTTACTTGGCTTTACTTTTTAAATATGTCTCCCACTTATTCTCAACTACACGAGACATTAGAGGTCAAAAGAAATGGGCCGACTTTAAAGTGATGGCTTTATCTTTACATTTTGGGAAATATTCTCTTTCTTGTATGGATTAAACAAACAAGATATAACATGTTCATTGGTGATCTTTAGAGGTTCTGATAGGTGGATTTTGTTTAGTTTTTTAGTGTGTGTTCGTGTTGTGTCAAATGGAGTTGTAGCATTATGGTGTTTGCTGTTTTTTCCCCAGGTTTGGGCCTGTTGGTGACATGGCTGTCCGACCCCGACAACCTGAACCAGTTGGTGGTGAGCCAACTCGACAGCGTGACCCCCAAAGGCTCTGTGGAGGAGCTGTGCGGATCAGACCTGGATCAGACCTCGCTGGCTTCACAGGAGGGCGAAGGCGAGGGCAGTCAAGTGTGAGTGGCTGTCATCTTTTGCACCCTTTTGGCTTGACCTACTCACAGTGAGCCTCAAAGCAGTGACTGAAAGAGCCACCGTCTGTGTTTTGAAATTGGAACCAACCTGGTTTTGTGTTTTTTTTGGGGGGGATTTCTAGGAGCTTGGAGGGAGCCGGGATTTCAACCAGCACCAGGATCAAGGCCAAAAGGAAAGGTGTGTTTTGTGATTGTTGTAATAAAGAGGCTTGTTTAATTCAAAGCTCTGGGACACTGTAGGAGCAGTACTTGTGATTCCAACCTGGCTTTCAGTTGTGAGTGAGAAACCATTTCAGATGAGGGTGACAGAGAAATGAGAGAGGCAGATGGAGTAGTTTGTGGGTGTTAAGAGAATAGAAAACTGCGCTTACATAACATCTTGTACAACAGTTTGATGAATATCAATGTTTTGTTAGCTACGTGACATTTTCATTTTCTTTACCAGCCTGCTTTTTAGCAGATAATTAATTCCCTGTTCCTCTTATTTTTTGGTCCAGGCAGCTAATTACACAAACGGCAAGCTGAATGCCAAATCATTTCTGTGCTGTCTTCAACCAACTCCTATCTCTTATATTGCAAACAATCCAACAGTATGATGACTGAATAAGCATTAATTATACTGTGATAATGAACACTGTGATCTGATAAATATGTATATTTTCTGTAATGATCACATCATACGTTCTCAATAAACACCATCAATTGTGTAAGAAACATTTAAGTATGATGGGATATTTATTCAGTTAGGCCATCACAGTGATAATAACATTGAAAGTTAGATTACTAATCGTGCTTTGAGTACTTAACTGCCTAATGAAATGCAGATTGTATCTGGTGAATAGTTTTTCTCACAAAATTTCCAACCACATTGATCTTACTCTTAATCACAATGCAGAAAAAAATGCAGATTTACTGTCAAATTATTACAGATCCCCTCCAGACATGTAATAAGACATGTTTTTTCTACATTTCTACATTAACATCTTTTAGTTATCTACTCCTTCTACCTCATTAAAAATGACAGAATCTATGAACATGCAAATTTAGTTCATTTCTAAA